CAACCTACCGGCACGGCAGAGTAACCGCCATCGACATCGGCGTGTGAAACGCCATTGTCAGCGAAGCACCTCCATTCATCGGATCACCATCGACGATCCCTAAAGAGTGCGTCGAACCCGTCGATAGGTCATCGACTGTGACCATCACGTAAACCAACATCATCTGGTGAGTCAAGCCTTTTTTTATTTTTGGAGTGTGGCGTCCGGCGAGAGCGCCACGGAGTGATTTTTTGCCAGTCTAAGACTGATGAGCGAGTAGCGCCGAGTTTCCGTGACACGCTTTTCCGGAACTCGTGATGTGGCATTCCCACCTTTGAAAAGTAACGTTTTTCAACGCCAACGTCGTTGTCACCAGGAGCGCAGACTCGTTTGGAGCTGAGTGCCGATAAAATGATGTCACACACATGATTAAGTAGAGCACATGAGCACATTAGTTAGGGAGAGAGAAATCGCACACACATAGGAGATAGGAGCGAACACACACAAGTAAACCAAAATCGATTGGAACATGTAAAGAAATATACGTAGGATAAATAATGTTATGCACTAAATATACCGCCTGAATAGTTCCGTGATAATAAATGTTTTCGTAAAATGTCCATCTCCCTAGCTTTAATTAATTGAATGTATTCGACATGACTTCGCGTTCTCCGTTGTAGTTTTCGTGTCCCGTCCTCATGTTGAGAGTTTGAATGTTCGGGAGAGTAGTCCACTTCCAGATCGGGGCGACGTCTAGTGGCAAGTGACGAGACTGCCGATGATGATAAATTCTCTTTTGTAGAGGTTTTTAGGTATGGGTGAACTCTCACCGACTCTCTGAGTGACTATCATGTTTGTGGTTTCATGGAGATAATAGGGTTTTCCCGTTTTGGACGTTTAGTTGAAAGCCGGCTTGACTGATCCGTAAATCCTTTCTAGGAAATTTAATGGACTCGCCCTTAGGAGAGTCTCAACCGGGCAAATTTACATTGGGCGTGTGGTCTCCCTTGTGGAGTGGCGCTTAAGCCACACGTTTTTAGAGACGGATCGCCCGGGCTGGCTACACTGTGCTATCGTGGATCAGGTCGGATCAGCGTAAGTACAAAGTGTTCGTAGGTCTTCGTATTGGTGAAATACTAACTCGTACGAACCTGTCAGAGTGGCGATGGGTTCCAACTAGGATAAACGTATCGGACCAGCTGACTAATAGCGAATTTGTTTTTGATTGAGTTCCAACCTGGATTGGGTATGAAGATTGAGTCTGTTTGTTTTCTGTTCAACATCAGTGAGAACGTTTGTGTTAGTAACCTGGCTCGGGTTGAAGTTCGCTCCTAAGCTGTCTAAGAAAGCTGAAGGGATCGCCGCTCGAAACGCTGAAACCAACGGAAATGTAAGCGCAAATCATTTTCCCGATCGCTTATCCGGTGTTGCGAACGCCACTGAATCAGAAGGAGTATGAGCAAAGAAGAATACTAAGATGAAACAGTCGGAAGAAAAACTTTCTATTTTAGTGTCCTGTGCTGTCATTTTTCCACCAAAGAGAGTGCAGCATATGTTTGAAACGATGGGTGATGATCCTTTGGAGAAGTTTATGCTTATATCAGCATGATAATAACCGATTACAAATATTTTACTTTTCGGTTCGTTAATCGATTAATCGATTATTCGAATGAAAATCGGCCATCACTAGATGAATGTAAAACGTCATTCCAAATTTAAGGCCGTACATAAATAATGATACAATTTGAAAGGGACCGGGGCTAATCACAAATTACGTCCCCATTGTAACTGAAATAAACACGAGTGCGGACCGGACACAGACTCTTTAACCCACATCAGTTCTTACGAGAGAAGTGAAGGTGACGTCAACAATGAGTTTACGTATGAATTATAAGGGGTGAAAAAGAAGCGTGATTTCACACGCTGAACACACATTTATAGACCCAATTTGAGTACAGAAGACCGACATTACATCCACGTACCTAGAAAGTATTCATGTTAAAATGGTGAGGTTAAACAATGTTTAGTCATGCCTAATCAATATCCAAATAATAATAATATCTAAGCATACATGTTGACAGTGAAATATCGACTGCAGCTAAATTATTACATAAGATACGGTATAGAGATTAGTGACGTTTAACGCACGCACACTAGTGGGAGCAACGCCGTGTAATGTTGTTTATTATTTTCCACTGGCTAGCCTAAAAAATGTATGAAAGTAGATCTGTCAAAATGAGTTTGACATCGATTTGTTATGTATTTTCCTCGGATATTCACTAACACGCACTCATATATCGCACCAATACAACCGGACGTGAAAATCTCTATAGAGATCTTCAAGCGTAATCTCACGAACTCTAAAATCCACCATCCATATATATAAATGAATAAGAAAAAGAAGAAGAACCAAAAAGGTATCGCGATATCACATCTACTTAAAAAGGTAGCGCGCGGTTTCACGCACACTTTTGTGCATCTGGAGAGCTCTATAAAATGTAATTGAAGGTGTCATATTAGACCGAGTTTAGGGACATATACCCTACTTTCGTTTCTTGATGAATATGAAAAACCGGAAATGGTTTCCGGTTTTCACCGGGATTTTCTAAATGAAATATTACCGGCCACCCTAAGCCTAAATATTAGAGCATTTCCAATCTGAATGCAACTTTCAACATGTTTTCAGCATTGGAGATTATGATTTTTCCACAGATTGCGAGACCATTTTTACTCAATACTAATTTCTGAAAGGGCGTATGAGTTTTCCCATATGAATTTTTCAAAAAATTCTAACCCTAAAACCGTTTATTGTTTAAAATTTATGACTGAGAAAAAATTGTAGAACATTTATTGGACTTTAAAAGAAAGAAATACACACTGAAAAAAATGGTTAAATTTAAGAAAAAAATAAATATATAAAATGTGAATTTATTTTCATTGTAAGGTACGATTTTTTTTTGTTGTGACCTTATGTCATAAAACAGTTTATAAAGGTTAATCCAAGATGGAGCAATTTAAAAAAAAAAGTTCCTGGTAGAAAAACGTTTCATGATTTTTTTTAACTTGATGAATTATAATGCATCATAATGTAACAATTATTGAATATGATTCTTAAGCTCATAACAAATCAAAATGATAACATCTTAAACGTAGCCGTTTTTGTTTTGCTGTTTTGAAAATTTGTATTTTCTCGAAAATAAGCCCTTTTCATAAGTTTCTCGTGATTTTCCGTCTACAGCGGTACAATGTCGAATATGTGCATAAAATTACCTGCAGGTCACTTTTTGACACCAAAAAGATGGACGAACTGTTCTTATGCAAAGGATGAGAAAATATTTTTTTTTTTCAGTTTATATTTTTTCCTTTAAAGTCCAATGGACAGTTAGTCTCAGACACAGTTATTTTTTTTTAATTCGTATGTGGAAACACGTACGCCCTTTTCAAAAATTAGTCTTGAGTCAAAATGGTCTTGTGACCTGTGGAATAATCATTATCTCCCAAATTGAAGGCATGTTGAAAGTGTTATCAAAATCGGAGAGGCTTGTGCCAAGTCGCTTGCTCATTTGACAAAGAATTGAGCCGTAAGTATTCTATTCCATCCCCACTACGTCTCTAAAGACGAAGATTTAAATAAATAAAAAATAAATAGATTAAAATTTAAACAAAAAAAAACGTTAAGTAGATCTCCCGTAAGTCCATAAATTAATAATATTGTTGATAATGAGCCTTTACGGTGAAAGGACAAGCACTACGCTGTCCATAGAAGCATATCAGTCCCATCTGAAAAAAGAGCAAGCCGAGCGGTCGTTTATTTCTCCGTAGACTCTCATGGATGGGACAACCTAGCATTGGTATTTTTCACGATATTTTCTGAACAGAACATGTAACTTTTAGTGCATAGTGTAAAATGCTGATAATTTACTATCGATTTGAATGGATAACTCATCTTTGATCCACATGGGACTATAATGCTTTTATAGGTAGTACGGGTTTCTGAAAATAAATAGATTTCTGTGAGTAATATTCCGCAGCAATAATTATTTCAATTCATTTCCCTTCATTCCCCGTCAATAAAGGGAAAGCTTACTATGCCTTCAATAATAGAAAACGAAACCCCCGGTCAATTACACTTTACATCACTTCGATCGACACAATGCACTAGATTTCGATTAACTCTCAGGCTCTCAATTACTTCCTCACTGACACAACGGATACCCTACTTACGATGAGAGGCCCGTCTAGAACCCCGATCCGTATACTGAATGGGCTAGGGGGGACGGACTTCGAGAACCTAACTGTATCCTGCCACGTATAAGCGGCGCAATTTACTACAGTATATGCTCAACTCGAAGCGCAAAACCAGTTCCTGCTGCCTTCAAATTCGCAATTGGCCGCCGTTGTCGGCCGAGAGCCGTCGATTGCAATTTCCAGTTCCGGTGTTGTTTTTCCCTCCTCTGCACTTATCCTTTATTGTGTTCATGCAGCTGTCCGAAGCTGAGAGCTGCTTGGGAAAATTGTAGGACGCTGTTTGCGAATGCTCTTTGTTACCCATTTTGCACGAGTGCATTTGCAAACATAAGTGAATAAACAGTCCGGTGCAGCTGGCTGGTCTACAACTTGTTTGAAGAGTGTAACACGGCTATGTATGGTCTATTGAACTACATACGTAGCTACCTGGATGCAAGTATGATTATACGTCCCATTGAATATGTATAGCTAATTCCATTTTCTCCTCGTCGTCTATTTGCATACACATTCTATGCGGGTCAACTTTTAGCATCAACAACATGCCGGTTTGACACCGATTGGTGAATTTTCCGCCTGTTCATTGAGTTCGTCCCTGGATCAAAACTACCGCGCGTCGTGAGCCATCAATCAAGCATGTAACAGTAGGATTATGATGCCCCATTAGGTTCTGAACTTTAAAGTAACCTTCCAATTTACATGCATCTAGATTTAAACAGAGCCCATTTCCCCCTACCTGGCAACACTGACACCACGTCTTGCTTTCCCGTTCCCAGGTATTCGACATCCTCTGGAGCGACCCGCAACACAATGAAGGCTGCCGGCCCAACTCGCTGCGAGGTGCCGGCACCTATTTCGGTCCGGATGTGACCAACAAGTTCCTACAACGATACAAGCTGCAGTATCTGGTTCGGTCGCACGAGTGCAAACCCGATGGGCACGAAATCATGCACGGTGGCAAGGTACAGCTTTAAAACTCGTGCTGCAAGGCTGCGTCCTCAACGTAAACCGGCGGTGGAATTATGCAACGCTAATAAACCTTTCTGTTTTACATTTAGGTCATCACGATATTTTCCGCCTCAAACTATTACGAAATTGGCTCAAACAAGGGAGCGTACCTCAAGCTGGACCCGCAGCTGGATACTCACTTTGTGATGTACACGGCGGCGGCATCGAAGACACGCAAACTGACCTTCCGGCAGCGCGTTGGACTGGTGGAAAGCTCGGCACTGCGGGAGCTGGCAGCACGGTTGCGTGAGCGGCGCATGGAACTGGAGCGGGAGTTCACCTCCCGGGATCCTCAGAAAACGGGTGAGTCACGTTATGAATGGATGGTGGGTGCATGTGGGCGCCGCCCATGGCACAGTATTAGAAAGTCGAAGGCGGTGCGTTCTATTCCCGGGGTGGTTTAGGAAATCTTTCGGGTAGGAAATGGTTTCCACTTTCCTGGGCAATAGAGTATCATTATGTAAACGATATAGTGGTTATCTCCGTAAAAGTTGGTTTTTTTGATCCTTAAGGACTGTGCATTGATGAAAGTAACGGGTGTTCAATAAAAAATAAGATTTTTTTCAGTCATAGCTAGTAAAAAAATTTTTTTTTTTTCAATGAATTCAGTATTTTTTATTAAAAACATAATGTTTATTCTTCAAAAAAACGTCAATGAATATTGGAGAAGGGACCCTGGTGAGCCGTACGACGCAACTTAGTCGCGATGCTCTCACAAGAGCGTTGGACGGTATTGAATTCATTCTCATTTTTTATTGAACACCCGTTAGACACTCTTTTCTCCAAGGAAAATATGTATTATCGAAAAAAAATCATAAGTTAACTTTATATAAATGAAAATCAACATACATATGACCGATTTCACGTGAGTTTGAATGTTTACTTCTCATTTCTGAAGAACGCTCGGACTTTTCTCTTCATATCGCCTATTAGATTCTGCACAACTTTCTTCTTAACTTTTCGTTGTGCTGCAGACCAACTTTTCTTGAAGCATCCAACAGAGCTTGCTTCTCTTCCATCTTTCTTAGGATGCAGTTCAGGGCAGTTTGGGGGATTTTGGAATTTTTCGACAAAATCGACTTTTTTCTTCTTGAGTTTCTACAACATAGCAGTAATTTTCGACTTTGATTGTGCCCGTTGTGAAATACGAAGAACTCTTCAATCCACAGAAGCAAATGGCTTGCCACACCAAAACCTTTTGGAGACGACGTGTAGCAGCTGAAAATCAATATTAATTTGTAGGGTATTTGACGATACTTCTGAAATCAGAAGCCACCATCTTGAATTTCAAGATGGCGTTGAATATCGATTAGATGTCACCCCGATTCCAAAAACATCCACATTGATGAAATTTGACAGTATTTCACACTTTTTTTCTGAACCAAACCCGTCATGTTAGATTTTTAAATGGCATCAAACATTGGTGTCTGGCCTCTAGACGGTACTGGGATATCGAAAATATCCTCATTGATGGTTTTTTTTTACAGAATTTCCCACTTTTTCTGAAACCAGAAGTCTCGATCTACGATTCCAAAATAGCGTCGTCTTTCGATCATCCTTCTCTAGACATCATCCCGATTCCAAAAATACCTATATTGATGGGTATTTGATAGTATTTCCCACTTTTTTTAAGCAGGAAGCCGCCATCTTGGATTTCAAAATGACTTAGGATAACGACTTTCAGCCTCCAGAAGTCACCCATATTTTAATAAAGTACCCCTATTGATGTGTCGGCATCAGAATTTTCCATTTTTTCTTAAACCGGCTTAAACGACGTAGGATATCAATTTTTAGCCTCCAGACGTCACCCGACTAAAAAAATTTATTATATATATGGGTATTTGACCCACTTTTTTTTCTGAAATTGGAAGCCACCATCTTGGATTTCAAAATGCTGACGGATACTGATTTTTATTCTCTAGACGTCATCCCGATTTCAAAAATACCCATATCGATGGGTATTTGACAGTGTTTTCCTTATTTTCTTGAACCGGAAGCCACCATCTTGGATTATTTTTTTAACTCTTTATTTATTCCAAATTCAAAATAAATTACATTTCAATTTCACCTAGTTGCTCCAGCTACTACAGTAACTTACCAGCCTTAATTGTTATGATATATATCTAAGTTTTTTACATTGTTCCTGCCTTGGCAATTCAGTATTTTAAACAGGTTTTGTTTTTAAACCAGCATGTCTGTATAAGAATTGCCATCATCTTGGATTTAAAAATGGTTTCGCATATATAATTCCAATCTCTAGACGACATGCCGATTCCAAAAATACAAAGTAAAAAATCGGTTCCAAAAATACATTTACTTAGGATTACGTCTTTTGGCAACATATTGGGGGTGCGATTTCAAAAAAAAAAAACCAAAACCGACCACGTTACGAAAAGTGATCAGGTTTTCACCACTTATAACTCTGTCAATAAAGGATAGATTTTTATTCTAAATGAGTCAATCGATTGGCAATTTTTCTACAAATCCGCAAAAATGAACACTTTGTCAATTTTCAATGAGTCACTATTGAAAATTATACAAATGTCCAACAGTTTCAAAGATGATCAGAATTATCACCGATTGCCTGCTTAAAGCGCTTTCTCTTACAAAGATTTCAAAATCAAATTCCATCCGGTCTCGCCGAACGGTGCTTATTCAATGACCGTGTATGGTGGTGTGGGGTCGGTCGTCATCAGCAGCATTGTTCTCCAGTACACAACGAAAGACTGCCCGCAAGCAGCGAGCTGCAACGCACATGAGCGTCCATTCATCGAAGAAGGAGGAAGAAGCCGCATCGCTACTGATCGGATTCAGTAGCTTTCCGTGAGTCGTTGTGGGTCATCTATGCCAAGCGCGTCACCCTCGTTTCAAACAACATATAGCTCGCCAGCCTCATCCGTATTGAACACCCTAATAGCTCATCATTGCTCAACCATCACGACAAAACGGTCCTTTTCAGAACCACCATAAGTTTGTTAGTTTTAATCTAACATACGATGTATTTTTAAGGCAACATTGGGGGTGCACTTTCAAAAACCAAAGTCGGTTGTGGCATGAAAGTGGACTGATGTTGATCCATAGATGATGGATTTTAATTCTTAATACGCCAATCGCCCCCAAAGCTCTTGTAACTAGCAACCAATGACCGAATACCACATGACTTTGTCAATTAATCAGAAACACTTTGAATTAAGGTAAAGTTTTCTCCAGGATGCTAGAAAAACGCATAAAAATCTCGAATTTATATGATTTATCACTTTGAAGTATTGTTTTGTTAAACCATCATTTAAAAATATTCCGTTTCTTCATTTCGGAAATGAATCGTTTTCTTAATCCAAATGTCTATGTACAGGCTAGTATCGGTCACAATCGTTATTGACACAAACGACTTAGACAGTTTTTGATTGATTTTTGACACTGTGAGGCCAAGCATCCACTTTTTTTTTTAATAAAGTGGCCCTAATCTTTCTACGTGGCATATGGGCAGTCACTTAATTTTTTACGTTAAGAAATCTGAATGAAAGATTTCAATTTCATCAATTTTAAATTAATTGGGGTAGCACCGTTTAAGCAAAGTCGTCATTTGCTGGCATATGGAAGCTAAAATCATGGAGAAAGTACTACGACTCTTCTTAGAGGAAAAATATAAATGAGAATAGTGATTGAATGTGGGTCACACCTGTTACATGTTCCGAGAAACAGTATCATATAGATAATGTCACAGCGTAGGTACCTACATCAAACATGTTTGAGTGCGTACAGTGGATACAAAACGAAAGGGAATACACATCAACAACAACGACATCATCAACAGCAGCTACAATTTGATTGCTCCGTCAATCGGTTTACTGCTCTGACTGGGTTCCGACCTTCAACTGTACAAGCGCATGAGAATATGGGATATTGCCAACAAATAGAGTAATCGATTCCTTGCACGAAGAAGGGAAGGGATCCGTCGTATACGAGCGATAGCTTGATTTTCTGTGATTCGTGGTTTCCGGTTGATGGTACATATTTCACTATCATCCAGACACCCAGCAATTTCTTCACGTATTTATTCCACGATTACCATCCTACTGGATTTTACCTTTTTAAAGTGTGCGACTATCACGGATACGAGCGTTTGCCTGCTCTCAACTTGTTCTTGAAGAACATCCACTGTTATGGATTGAGAGTAAGGGGAAACGGCCTAAATACCCCTAATTTGGGCCCATACATAAATTCAGCAATCGACTAAATTTTCAATAGCGACCAAAAATATCCATTGAAAACGTCCAAATGACGCGTTCATCTAGATAAAATTGATTAATAGCAGTCTTATAGCAAATAGCAATCTAAGATTCATAGGCCAACATAAGAGCCATTTCCTCTATCTATGTCAACCAAAAATTAGCCAAACTGCGCCCATTGGATATCTCAGCCTGGTAGCGGTTTCAGAAAACATGTTATAGGTAAGTGCCAGTAAGTAGGGTGACGACATGTAGAAATTGGAACAGTTACATCTGTGCTCAGCTTAGAAAATGTCATTACAGTCGACCATCAGACCTATAAAATGGCTGAGATGTCGTCACTCTTCTTTTTTTTTATTGGTTATAAGGACGAAAGGTTGGTTTATTAATTTATTTCTTCATCTCGATTTTCAATACAAATTGAAAGAACGGTGGAAACATGGGGTTTATATCCATCATACAATTGATTTGACACTCATCAATAAATAGGATTTGCGTGTGTTGTTTGTAAGAACGACCATCATTCACTTAGCATAAGACGATTTTTCAAAAAATGATGCTATCAGCTATCAAAACCGATGATCCAAAACAGTACAACATGCGTCCATTAATTGTGATTAAAAAATAACGACGGCAGTTAACAAAACTAATGCTCTAAACCAATGAGAGTTTCCACCAAAAAGCAAAAGTCCAATGATGTCCAGAAATAATTCAAAATGACGCCAACAATCAAAAGGATCGATCCTCCCAACCTGACGAAAACTTCTTATGAGTCCAATGCTCCAAAAATCCAAAATTTACTTCGGCGCTAATAGTTCATTTGACCAATTAAAAAAATATATAGGCACCAACAGCTATCAAGACCGGTGTTCGAGAGACGCCAGTGCTCAAAAGGACTTGACCTAAAGTAATATCATAACCGTTTTTCTGAAACTATTCGAGTATATTTCGAGAAGTTATATTTCTCAATATATTGATTTCATCCTAACGTTACCTCAATGTTATATCACAGACAAGCAGACACAACACATTGAACATTTATCATTGTAAGCCCTACCACCATCTGTCGTATAT